GATTTCCTGTCTTTGGGAAGTGGTCCCATTGCACTGCTGGATATGTGCTGGGGAAAAGTTTTTATTCTCCTTGGTGTTTTTTGCCAGTCCATGGCTCTTCAAATGTAGGTTAATCAAAATCAAAACTTCTTACTAAAATATACTGGCAGTGATGGAGTTTCTGCCAGCCACATTTTTGAGCCTTAGGATTAAGTCTTTTGAGGAGGAGAAAATTAAAATATCCAACTGGGCTAATTTGTGGAGTATTGAGCCGTCCAACTCTACCTACAGAACTTATATAAGGGCAGCTCTGCAGCTGTCCTTGCACTCCTGATCCAAGAGCAGTTTTATTTAGGCCAAGGATGTAACATTCAAGGCTGTGTTCTTGGGACACAGCCAGCCTTTGGCAGGAGGGAGGATTTTCAGGTTGGGTTGGTTGTGGGTCAAAATCAAGTTACATATGTGCTGAAAGCAGTAGGATTTCACCTGGGCTACCTTGGGCCCAGTCCATGTGGCTTCAGGAGGTGAATACTGAGGGGTTCATTCTGCTCTTTAGGGAGGTTTGGAAGATGGGGAGAATACTGGATCATACCTATGAGCATCAAACACATGAAGTGGGAAAGGACATTTGAAGTCAAAGTGACTCAGAACTCTCTGAAGGGAGAGGGAGAAATGGGTGTGCATGTTCTCCTCTGCTGCTGCTGAGCACTGGATGTGTGGAAGGCAAATCTCCTCCTTTGCTCCTGGAGACTCAGGGAGGAGGCAAGTGACAGTTTTGGGAAAACATTGCCTCTGTGGGATTTAATTTTCCTCTTGCAGTTCTGATGTCTCCACAGCCATCTGCAATGTCATTTGCTAATGTGCAGCAAGATTAATTTGTGGGTTTACTGTATCCATGCTGTAGAACCAGGAAAAACCACTGTGCATCCTGCTCATCCTTAACTAAGGAGAGAAATTTATGCTTTGCCATTAAAGTGAGTGACACTTTCCAGGCCCCAATTTTTTTCCTGTCTGGCTGTAGAATTTCTTGTCAGTTTTAAAATGTAGCAGCAGATTTACTAGCCAGCCAGGAGACGTATTTAAGCACAGCACTGCTGATGAGCAGGGCTGCAGCAGCACTGCAGCAGCGCTGCAGGCACACTGGGAAAGGCTGGAGCAGGAGTGTTGCAACAGAGCCAGAGAGCTCACTCCTGCCCTCCCAAACTATGCTTCCTGCTAGTGCTGGGTGCCTTTATCCCACAAGGAACAAGGAAAGGTCTCTCTTCACCACCAGCACTGACTCTGTAATGGTTTGTGACATTTCCCACATTTTTGTGTCTTTAGAGTCTTCACATATGTGGCAGCTAGTGCAAACAAGGACACCATGTAAGCTGGAAAGAGCCTGAGAGTAAATTCTCACCAGGCTTAGCAAATTAAGACCCATTTAAATTGAAAAAAAAAAACAGAAGAAAATTCCAGAACACAGGTATTTTTCTTTTCAAGTAGCTTAGGCTCAGTGTGGATTGTGATGCACATTGCTGCTCTGGTCCATCTTACAGGACTCTCAGACAAGGAGACCAGGTCACTTGTCCCCGGCCAAAGGCATTTAGGGGGCAGAATCAAGTGTCTGATGCTCCTATGTTCACTCAGGCCAATGTGCCACTTCCCTCTGTTTTCTAAGCTAATAAGATAGGACAGCTGGCAAACTTCTAGTCTCCTTGTCATTTATCCCCAAGAATGAAATCCTGTTCTTTGCTTTAAAGAATTCAGAGTTATGGAGCAAAGATAAGAAATGTCTCAGCTTGCAAGCTGAGGCATTAGAGGCATTTTTGGCTGTTATGTTGCCCCAGGCAAAGCTTATCTAATTCAGGCTCTCCACAGACATTTGGCTGTCAATTCATCCTGAAGACTTTTGGAAGGAAGAGGATCTCTCTTAACTGTGAAGTGGGTTTTTTTAGGCATTAGAAGTGAGTCAGGGAAGCATCCAGCTCAGTGGGAATAGCAGCAGGCAAGGCGTGGGCTTGGCGTGGCCAGGGGGAGGACGCAGGTCTCATGCACATTGTGGCTCTTGGTCCTGTGACCCTTCTGGGTCGAGTCTTGAGAAGCAAAAAGTGGTTTTCTGTAGCGATATGAAGTCACAGAGATGTTCTGCTCCTGTGCCTTTCCTAACGTGTCTCGTGTACTGAATATTTCCTCCAGTATGAGCTTTTGATCTGCTCCTCTAATGGGGAGGAGTGCTGGGAAATTCAACTCCAAAGCACCTCCCGAGTCAAAGATGGTGAATTGCTCCATCTTAAATATTTAGCAGATGTTCTCAAAATAGAGTTAGCTCAAAAAAAAAAAGTGCTACACACATGCACTTAATGGTGGAGGGTAAACTGTTAAGAGTATTGCCTGGCAGGCCAGGAACTGGACTGGGGGTAGGTACTGTGAAAGGAATTTTCAGATGAAAGGAAGGAAATTGTTCCTGCCACTCTGATTGTTTTCAATCAAGTGGCTCACCCCGTGTGGATGTGAGCAAAGTTTGTGCCCAGCAGCTCAGCTCTCTGCCCCAGCAGCATCTCTTGGGGCAGCTGTGTGTGTCAGCTCACCTTGCTTTGAAGAGCGATGCTGAAAGAAATTTCCTCTTGCTGCAATGATTTGATTATGGCAGAAAAATGCCATTGCAATCCTCCTGCTTCGTGCTGGCCAACTGCGTGGCTTTAGGCAAAGGAAATCATGGGCAAAACAGCCCAAACAAAGCCCAGTTCCTGGTCCCTGTTTGGGAGTCTGTTTTGTCCCACCTCTCTGTCCTTTCAGTTCCTCTCACTGCAGTTTTGAACCTGGACCTTCTCTTACATTTGCCACATCAGTAGCCTTGGTATTTAAGTTGCTGTAGTTAAATCTGGTGTTTAGCTGAGCTAGAAATGGCAGCAGCTAGAAACTGCTGTGGAGGAAGAACATGGCAAAACAATTCAGAAGAGAGGAGAGGAAGCTGCTTCTGGCAAAAAACAAACCAGGGCCTTTTCTGCCTCTGGCAAAAACAAACCAGGGACTTTACAGCTTCCCTAATTGGAGGAGTTGAATGACAACTTAACCACAGTAAACCAAAACTGACAGTGAATATTCAAGTCATACTAAGACAACTTTTTCCTTTACAGATCCACGCAGGAACATCTGCACCAGAACCATCGGTGCTGGCGACGTTCTCCAGTCCTGGAGCACAGGGCCTGACAGCCCCAGGGAAGACAGAGGGGCCTGGGCAGCCTGGTGGTGCTCTGGGCCACCCTCACTCTTCAGAGGTGCTGCCCACTGCCAGCTCTATGCCAGTGAGGAGCACAGCGAAGCCACAGACAGCTCCTCCTGTGCCAAGTGGTGTTCCCATGAATGGCAGTGCTTCCACAGCCCAGCCCAGCACTGCTGTGTCCCCCAGCACTACTGCCACTACGCCAGGTGAGCAGACCTCACCTGGGCAGGATTTGGTGGCAAGCCATGGCAGCATGGAAAAATCAGAGAACAGTGTACCTGGCTGTTAACCCTCGCTCTGCTCTGCAGCAAAGGGATGTTTCTGTTCACACTGGGATTTCCTAGAACAGACTCTTGCAAAGGTGTAAGAGCCAAAATGCCCTTTGGCAGCTCAGTTCCCTCTCCCAGGGATGGCTGTGGACTGGGAGGGGTGTGTGCTGCTTGTGTGGTGTCTCAGTTCAGTTAATCCAGTTTGCTGATGGATTCACAGCTGAATTTCTGGTGAATTCAGGGTTCCTTTCCCTTACAAGGGAACAAATGGAAGGTGCAAAGGAAGTGCTGCATCCAAAGATGTTCTTGGCAGGAAGATCATTGGCTGGCTGTGCTAACAAGTTAATATTTTTTTAAGGGCTTATCCCAGCTGAAAGTGGAAAATATAAACATCTTGGTTGGCCTGTGTTGGCAGAGGAACACAGCCAGGGCCTCCTGGTTCTGCTAAACAGTACAAAGGTGATGTCAAGGGTAGTTTTTCCAAGCTACTGAGTTTTTTCCAAGGGTTTTTGTCTCTTTTCCTGTGGGTTTTTTTTTTCCTGTTGAGACCTGATTTCTTTTTGCCTTGGAACTCTTTGCAGCTGAAAGGCTGATGGGGTTATAATATGCCAAGGTCTAGAGTAACTGAGTGGGGAAGAACAGAATTTGATGGTTAGTTCCAGTGGCTAATAAACATGAGAGATTAGATAACATGAAGAAAGAAGAAAGGCTAAATATTTAGGGATATTCCCCATCTTTTTTCACTTGGATTTTCTGTGCACACCCCTGAAATGTTGTAAAGCAACTTTAATCCTTGTTTCCTATGCATAATTCCTAGGCCCAATAAGAAAAGGACAAAAGAGATGGGAAGGGAAGAGGAGGCTGAGAGATGATTTTAAGAAATGTGTTCAGCTTTCTGGTTGCCTTAATGCTAATAAAAAGCAGAAAAAATATGTCACCAGCCACAGTTCTCAAGGTTACTCTGTAGTCTTTAAAAACAAACTGCCTGTCAGTGTACTTGAAATGGAATGCCAAGAAAAATTGGAACAGGGCTGGAAAAGAAAATACACATAAAAGGACCAGGTTGGTATTTGAGCTTCCATACTCAGGGTGGCAGCTATGCAGGTTTTAAACAATTCCCTGAGCCCTCAAGCACTTCTTCAAGAAAGAAATTCCATGGATTCTTCATATCTTTGCGAAGCTCTGGAATTGCAGTTTGGGTATAGCAGTGTTTGTCTTGCAGTTGAGTTCTGTGCCAAAAACCTGTCAGGTAAAACCCTTCCCATCCTGCTGGACCCGGGTGAAGAGACTCCCCATGCAGGGCCTGAGGGGAAGGGTTTCAGCACAGAGAGACATGACAGGAATTTTGGGCTTGTCTTGAAATGGTAAACCCCAATTAGTGCTTTTGCATTAACCAGGAGAGCAAACCCTGAACCAAGAGCTGCATTGGGTGCAGTGTTTACAACATACCCATGAGGTTTAGGCCATTTAAACCGAGGTGGGTTTAGGGACACAATTAATCTTTCTCTGCTGTTCCTCTTCCAACTGTGTGTTTGTCCCTCCCAGTCATGAAGGAGCTGGTGGTTTCTGCTGGAGACAGTGTGGAAGTGACCCTGCCAAAGAACGAAGTCCAGCTGAACGCGTTCGTGCTTCCTGAGCCACCACCTCGTAAGGCTTCCCTGGGCATTTTGCTGAGGGCTTGGGCTGTGAAATGCAAATTGGCATCATATGTGGTGTGTAATAAGATGTCCCTTGTCAGAGAATGCTGTCCTGTAGGAATTTTTCATTCCCTGCTATTACTCTCACACTGCCTCTCACAGAAAACTGCGAGACACGAGAGATGGAAAGTGCTACAGAGCCAGTAGGTTTGGGAGATGGCAGTGGAAGCAGTGGATCTTTAGTATTTGCTCTTAGTATTAGCTGATAAGTGCTGAGCTGCTGGAGCAAGTGATCCCTCCTTTGCTGGGTTGAGGTGTGGGGGTTGGAGCTGCTGAGGAACACGTTTCTGTACAGTCCTCGTTTCATCGTGCCAATTGTTGGCTGGTATTTGTAAAGTTCTTATCTTAGCTCTGGCCACAGTGGCAGTGGGAGCTGCAGAGGAGAGACAGGTGTGCTCCTTGTGGTGCAGCAGCAGGGATTGATGATTCCTGTTCAAAACCAGCGTTTTGCTGTGTCTGCAGGATCTGGGGGCAGGATAAAGCTTTCCGCTCTTATTATTCTGGAGCTGTGATTGTTCCACAGCTCTTTAATGCCTTAGAGGCTGAGAGATGGGTTTTGGCTGCAGACTAAATGAGTTTAGAAGCACAGATGTCTCCTTTCCTGGGTATATTCCCAAAAAGCTGCAGCCCAAACTCCAAGCTGTCTTATTTCTCCATAGTGCAGCAGAATGCGCCTTGTAAATGTTTAATACCTTTGCAGTTCTTTAGCATGGCAGAGATCAGGCTTTGAAAACAAACATCTGGACTCTTTTTTTTTTAAGGAACCACATATTCCTATGAGTGGGAATTGATTACTCATCCAAAAGACTACAGTGGAGAAATGGAAGGGAAGCACTCCCAGACCCTGAAGTTGTCTAAGGTAAATCTTTTGCTGCTGAAGAGATTTCCTTCTCTTCTTGCTCATCTCAAATGCAATCTGCTCGTACAGATTCCTGTGGCCAGACAAGCTGAACTAATCTCTGGTATCACTGTTCTGTTTGCATGTTGTTGCTGGAAAATAAAGCTTGGCTGACAATCCTGTGGCAGAGAGGAATATGAGTCTTTGGTTTCTGCATAGCCATTGTAAACTCCAAGGTGTTTTTGGCTTGGAAACCATCCTTCCCTGTGTGTGCAGGGGCTGAAGCGTAATTGCTTGGGTGCTGCTGTGCCAGAGTACAGTAACTTGACCTTCCAATAGCTCTTGACAAGGTGCTCCCAACCTGTAGGTGAATAATCCTTTGTGTTTGCTTCCAGCTCACTGTTGGTCTGTACGAGTTCAAAGTGGTTGTTGATGGGGAAAACGCACGTGGAGAAGGATATGTGAATGTGACAGTGAATCCAAGTGAGTGCTGGGATTGAATCTTTACTTCACCTGTCTCTGACAAGCCGTGACACCCTTGTAATGGGGTTTGCTTATTTGGCTGGACTCTGCTTTAATGCAGTGAAAACTCATTGTGCTGTGAACTCAGTGTGTATATATATTTATGGAGTCGTTTCCTGGGATGGGAAGCTATTGCCAATACACAGCTCTTTCTGCTGCACTGCATCAGGCCAGCCAGTCAACAAAAGAGCTAGAATCCTGATACAGAAGTGCTCAGCAAACACCTCACCCTGGAAGGCCACTGCTTCCATACAAACTAGCTGCAGCCTGGCAAAAAGCTAATGGCAGCAGGATCAAGACCTGAAGCCAGGGCTTTGAAGCTCCTTTGGCGGTTCTTTTCTTCCCTGCCCGGTAAGGACTATCATTCCCAACCTCAGGCAGGTTAAGTCAAACCTCATTCCTTACATGAGACATGATTTGCAGATGAGCTGGTGCAGCTTGTTCTGACTGCCTCACTTTTTAGATGGCCTGTGTAAAGAGGCAGCCACAGGTTTCAGCAAAGCCCCTTCATTTTGCACACATCAGCAGGACCTTTTCTCCAGCCTTAGTGGGCTAAGAAGGATTCTTGCACTCCCTGAGTAAGCAGGAGTGTGTGACTGCCCTTCTGGGTGCTGTGGCTGATCGTTTCCTTACAAGCAGTGAGTCTGCAGCTGGCAGCATGCATCAAAATCATTTGTTTTTCAGAGCAGCAGCCAAACTTTGGCAAGAAGCTGTAAGTGCTGCTCTCTTAGAATGGTCTGTGCTTGAGTGCTTGACCCAGTGTGCAGCCATTTCCAGGGTGGTGTGGTGGCACTTCACCTCCTTGCTGTTTTAAATCCCTTTGGTTGGCATTGATTCCCCAAACCTGATGTAGAACTGAAGGCATGAATCGCTGTTGCTGATAGCCTTGCAGTTCCTTGGCCTGGGTTTGATCTGCCTGTAGTGTCATGCTAATAGCTGCATTGCTGTTGCAGAGCCCCGGGTGAATCAGCCTCCTGTTGCCATCGTGTCCCCACAGTCCCAGGAGATCTCACTGCCAACCATTTCCACTGTTATCGACGGCAGCCGTGAGTACCTGCGGGTTTGGTACAGCACCTGGCGGGGCTGGTTGGGGTGTTTGGCTCTGGGCTGGTCCTTTGCTTAAGGCTTAAGAGAAACTGTGACCCTATCAAACACAACTCAGTGTAAGGAATCAGCTTCTCTTGCCAGGAGAGGGGGATACACACAGGACAGCACCTCTCCGTGTTCCCTTTCAAAGGGCACTGGCCTGGGCCAATCTCCTGAAAAAGGAAGAGCTCTAGAGGTTGCTGCTTAGAATAAAAGAATAATTGCTATCAGTCGAAATTACTGAACTCTTGTATTAAGCTTCAGACATGCTGAGGCCTTGAGCAGCCTGGTCTAGTGAGGAGGTGTCCCTGCCATGACAGGGGGAGTTGGGGCTAGATGATCTGCAAGGTCCATTCCAACCCCTAAATTCTATGATGATTCCATGATGATGATAGTTACTGACACCATCTTCAGTGGTCCTGGCCTGCACTAGACCTTTTCAGGGGTTTAAATACATTCAGGTGCTCTTAGCCCCAGCCAGCACTGATTTGTTACAGTTTGGATGTCTGAGCATGAGACACCTCTGGGCTTAGATCAAAAATACCTTTGCCCTCTTGTGAAGCAGCATTTTCCAACTCCTTGTATGTGTGTCTTCTTCCATAACTGAAACAGAAAGCACTGATGATGACAAAATTGTCAGCTACCACTGGGAAGAGCTGAAGGGTCCTCTGCGGGAGGAGAAGGTCTCCAGTGACACTGCCATACTGACCCTGACCAACCTGGTGCCTGGGAACTACACCTTCAGGTGAGCTCCACCTGGGAGAGCCAGTCAGTTCTCCTCCCTGAAGAGTGAAATGTGTGAGATTCCTGAGGCAGTGTTAATCTGGTTTGAAAAAACCAACACAAAACAGGGAGAGAACTCCCTTTTCCTGATGTGTTCTTTCTCTCTCTGCTTCTGCACTTTCAGGTAGTTTTGTAGCTTTGCACTTCAGGAGAGATAAGCTGTCCAGCTAAAGTTGTGGCCTGGTTTAAGATGATGGCAGAAGGGAACAAATGGTCTGTCAGTGCTGCAAAATGTCTCTTGAAATGTCAAATCTAAACTGTTTGGGTAAAGGCTTAGGAAGGAATGCAGTCTCTAAATCCAGTTTTTAAATGCAATGTGTTTGACCCTGATAAGTGAATGAGGCCTAATGGTTTTATGCACAACCTGAGCAATAGGTTTTCCTTTCGTGTTTGTCCTGCAGTTTGGTGTGATGTCCTGCATCAGCAGGTCTGTTTCAAATTAGATAAACCAGAGTAGTTCATCTGAACGCTGTTTCCTCCCAAGCAGTTGGTATAGACACTAGTCAGGTCCATGCTCAGGTCTAGGTTTGGCAAAAAGAAGTTCTGTTTTGTGGTCCCAGCCCACCTGAGACAACATGCTGTGCCCAGGCCACTTGTGGCTTAGTAACAAACTTCTGTGTTTCACCTTGGAACTGGTTGGTGGGTCTCAAGTGAGAGATGGGCGTGACTCTTAGATTTCTTGCGTCGCTTTGGGGCTGATAATTGGGCATTTGGGGGAAGTTTCTAGTCAGAAAAAGCACAGCTGTCTCAAACCATCCTGTCCTTAGAGTGTCTTCAGTTCTAACTCTTCTCTTCATTTGGGGTGACTCCAGCCAGTGTTCTGCATTCAGCTCTGACTGCTGTAGCTCCTCACTGCTTGCACTTCTTTTCCCCCTCTTCAGTCTAACAGTCGTGGACTCAGATGGTGCCAGCAACTCCACCACTGCAAACCTGACTGTGAACAAGGCAGTGGATTATCCTCCAGTGGCAAATGCAGGCCCAAACCAGGTGATCACTCTGCCCCAGAACTCCATCACCCTCTACGGCAACCAGAGCACGGATGATCACAGCATCGTCAGCTACGAGTGGCTGCTCAGCCCCAACAGCAAGGGGAAGGTGATGGAGATGCAGGTCAGTGCAGGTCTCCAGTGTTGCTCCTGGATTGCTCACTAGCTGGCTTTTTATCTGTAGTCAAGCCATTTTAATTGGCTAATAGCAACTGTCTTTTATAATCCTACAGAGCAAACATGTGATGATGAAATGCATACCTAGAACTAAATCCAGGTGAACCTTGTGTTGCCTTAGTGGCTGAGCTACTGCACCAGCCTAGCCACAGGTTTCACTGGCATCCTGTTTCCTTTCTTTAGCAATGCAGCTGAAGAAGGAGGCTTGAGAGAAATTTCTGAGCTGCTATTGGCCAGACACTCCTCAGCCCTAAACAGTAAAAGCTGAACTTGTTTCCATGTCATCATTTTTCTTTGAAAGATTATTACCTCTGTCAAATTTATAGAGTAGGAAAGTCCATGAATCAGGTTCCCAGTGGTGGGATTTGCACAGAGCTCCCTGGAGGTTTTGCTGGAGCTGGGAACTATTGAATCCCAAAGGCCTTGAATGCCTGCATGACTTTCCTCTGATATCCCACAACAGTGTCCTTGTAGCTGTGCATAGATTTAGCTGTCAGTGCTTTGCATGCTGAAGTGGCACAGACTCCTGTCACCATAGCAAGAGGTGGTAATAACCCCCTAGAATCTGTTATTTTAGAATCAGAGTCTTCTGGTCTGGTCTCACCTGTGTGAGGATTGTTTTCAATCCATGACTGTGTTTTCTCACAGGGGGTGAGGACACCAGTCTTGCAGCTCTCTGCAATGCAGGAAGGAGATTACACCTACCAGCTCATAGTGACTGATTCTGCTGGGCACCAGTCCACTGCAGAGGTCACTGTGATAGTCCAGCCAGGTAAGCTGCCTGCAAGAGATGTACTGAGGCTCACGAAGCAAACTCTTACTGATGGGGTTTTAATCTCCACCTTTATGGCATGTGTATGAAAATACTGCATCCTTTTTCAGAGAACAACAAGCCCCCAAAGGCAGATGCTGGTCCAGATAAAGAGTTGACTCTTCCTGTGGACAGCACCACTCTAGATGGCAGCAAGAGCTCGGATGACCAGAAGATAGTTTCGTTTCTGTGGGAGAAAACACGGTGTGTGTCACCTTCCAGAATGTTCTTGTGTATCCAGATCTTTCATTTCAAATGTGACACACCCCACACACACACCTTCCTTGTGTTCAGTCCTGGTCACATTGGGCCTGACCAGCTCTCAAAGTTTAAACTGATCCAAACCCCTGAAAAGGGTAAAAAAACTGAACAAACCCCTTGTGTTTTGGTTAGGGGCCCAGATGGTGTCAAACTGGAGAATGCCAACAGCAGCATTGCCACTGTCACAGGCCTCCAGGTGGGGACATATGAGTTCACTCTGACAGTGAAAGATGAGAGGAACCTGCAGAGCCAAAGCTCAGTCAATGTCATCGTCAAGGAAGGTATGTCCAGCCACGAGCAGAGCAGCTTGGGTCACAGGTTGTCTCTGGGCAGTTCAGAGACAGGGAGAGTAAGGAGTGGGGGAAAGTGACGTGGAGAGCACTGGAATGGCCTTCCCTACGTCAGGGGTTTGCCTTTTTCTGGAGGAAAAGTGTCTTCAGCTCAATCCTATTTCCCTTCTGTTCCCTGGGGTTAACGATTTCTGGGTTACACTGGAGAGCTGATGCAGTAGTTCTTGACTGGGCATTACCAGATCTTCCTCCAACTGCTTCCTCTCTGTTTATTTAGAGATAAACAAGCCACCCATTGCAAAGATTGCTGGCAATGTGGTCATCACCTTGCCCACAAACACCGCGGAGCTGGATGGATCCAAGTCCTCCGATGATAAGGCGATTGTCAGCTACCTGTGGACCCGGGATGAGGGGAGCCCTGCAGCTGGGGTGAGGTTTGCTTTGTAAAGCATCACAAAATCAGGGCGAGGTAGTGCAAACAGCTCCTGAGGAGATGTAAAGCTCATTGTTGTACTGTTACCTTGTGATACCCTGAAGTATGAGAACGTATCATGCTAGTTTGATCCTTTGTTTCCTCATACTTACTTTGTTCTAACTTCCAGGAAGTCTTAAATAATTCAGATCATCATCCTGTTCTCCTCCTGTCCAATTTGGTAGAAGGAACCTACACATTTCACCTCAGAGTAACAGATGCCAAAGGAGAGAGTGATGTGGAAAGGACCACGGTAGAGGTCAGACCTGGTGAGTCTGGGTGTTGTGGTGGGCCACGTTTGCCTACAGCCCTCTGGATGCAGTCTGCTGGGATTAAAATGTGTTATCTAGTCCATTTCAGAACTGTAACAGTCTAAAGTTGTGGAGGCTGTGATTGTGTTTTCATGTGGTTCTTAGGAGCTGATTCACTGCTTGCTGTTAAAGTCAGACTTGTGTCCCTTCCGACAGTGCCACTCTGCAGTGTTGTGTTCAAAGCAGAAACGTTCTGGAATGATACTAAACACCTGCCTTGTACCCAGGCTGTGAAATAGACATTCTAAAGATCTGTATTATCTGCATTCTCCCTAGATCCTAGGAAAAATAACCTTGTGGAGATGATTCTGGATGTGAACGTCAGCCAGCTGACGGAGCGGCAGAAGGGGATGTTCATCCGGCAGATAGGAGTGCTGCTGGGGGTCCTGGACTCAGACATCACTGTGCAAAAGATCCAGCCATACACTGAACAAAGGTGGGATTCATCTGGGAGGGGATTGCTCGAGGGTCTACTAAACCAAGGGCTCTTCTCTCCTGAGAAGCAGCTTGGACGATCAGAATGTGTGGAGCTGTTGCTTAGCACTGATATTCCTGCTTGCTCAGGTCAGGGGTGTGTTGCCAAAGCAGGTCTGGGGTATCTCTCCCCTCTTGAGATGGTGCATTGACCTTGAAAACTGCTGCTGCTGCTGTTGCCTCTTCCCCTCAAATCTGTAAAATAAGAAGTAATCTGATTTGGCTTTGAACATTGTGAAGACTGTCTGGAGGCTGTTCTGCAGCTGTGTTTTATACCTGGAGCAGTAGCAGGGCTTGGTGCAGGAGCATGGTGAGGCACTCCTGACACAGCAGAGGTGATGTGTAGCAGTCCCCTTCACCCTCGCCTTCATGTCAGCTTGGGTGTTCTCAGAGTTACAGGATGGCTTGAGTTGGAAGGACCTTAAAGATCATCCATGGACAGGGACACCTCCCACGAGTTCTGCATTAGCTTTGCTTCCTACACAACTGCTTTGATTTAATGTGCAAGGAGATGCTGAAAGCCAGTGTATTTCTGTCTGAAGAGGTAAGGAAAGCTTAATTTGGGTTGTGATTTGGCTTCCAGTAAACTGCATTTCTTCTAAACCCTTGGAAGCTTCCTGCTGGGCAGGGCTGTAGGTCAGGATTGCCTGGACAGTGGCAACAAGCCAGGAGTGGCAATCTGGTGTAAGAAGGACAATATTGCACTTCATTTTTACTAGAAGTGGAGTGGTTTTAAGCCAGGTAAAGCACTGAAAGAGAACTAAGGGACATGCTAGAATTCCTGCAGCAAGTCAGCAATAAATCTGCTGTTACTTTACACTTTCCTGTGTGCAGTGATCACTTCCTTCGTGTCCACGTGGCCTGGGCTAGCAGTAAAGTCAGAATTCATTGTCCATGCAAAGCTAGGGAGCCCAGAAGAGAGGAGGCAGCACTTTCTGTTGTAATAGTACCTCTCTGTCTCTGCCATGGCCAGGCCACTGCTCCTCACTGAGCAAGGCAAGTAAGGGATTCTTGCAAGTAATGCTTCATCTGTTTGTGTTTAGTAAGCAGACAAAAGTGGGAAGTGTTATAAAAGAGCAGAGACTGTTTTCTGACAGATGGCTTGAAGATCCCATTCTTGCCTCAACTATCAAAGTAACTCCTGCTGTTAAAAAAAAGAGCTTTTTTCCTCTGACTGCTGGGGTTTTTTAACATAGTCTGGAGGGCTTCATAAGCTCACTGGTGATAATAAATCCCAAACATCCATGCATCCTTTTATGAATCTGAAGGATCCACAGGGCTCTGCAAGGTGAGCAAGCCATGGGGAGCAAGTTCTTCTGTCATAAAGTTGATGCACTAAAAGCTGCACAATGCAGAATCCTCCACACCTGAGGTGTTTCTTGGCTATAACACTTGGTGCATTCAGACTGAGCTCTGCAAAAAACTGAACCTTCAGTGCCTGCTGCTGGAGCTCTGTGCTGAGCAGGTGAATGAATCCCCAGGCACAGTAAGGTCTAAGGATCCCACAGGGAGAGAGGGAGGAGATTATGGAAACAGCAGGACCTTAATGTTTGGGAATTTGATGCTTAGCATGAACGTGCAAAGATGTGCTTGATTAGCAAACTCAAAAACAGTCTAACCCCTGAAAATATGGATGGATCAGGTGCCCCAAAAGGTTTTCTATTGTGTGAGCTGGTCTACCATTATTGCTTTCAAATGGAGCCAGAAGTCCTCACATAAATTTGGGATTCTGGTGACCGACAGCTGATAGTCAGTCTTGCCTGTCTTGCAGCACGAAGATGGTGTTCTTTGTCCAGAACCAGCCTCCCCACCAGATATTCAAGGGCCGAGAAGTGGCCTGGACGCTGAAGAACGAGCTGCGGAAGCAGCAGTCAGACTTCCTCATCTTCCGCGCGCTGGAGATCAACACAGTCAGTAAGTGAGAGTCACCCAGGCACAGACTGACATCTGTTCCCTTCTTCCAGCTGCCTGCCAGGATAAGGAGCCTTGTGGGTGCTAAAAACGCCTGTGTGCCCACACACTCACTGCAGGAGCTTCGTGTTAGTAACGGGGAAGCAGGAAAATAAGTGATAGACTCTAAACTTATCAGTTATTTATCCATATTTACTGTTGAACTTGATGTAAAGTGGTTACTCGTAGTGTTGCTGGGAGGAGGAGAATTCACAGAGCCAAAAGCAGATTGATATTGGTGAAACTAAAATGTGGAGCACAGCCATCCTGAAAACAATAACCTGCACGTCTTGTCTGCTGTGCAGCACACACCTCAGTCTGCAGGAAGTGGTTTCCTCTCTCACTCCTTTACAGCTTTACGTTAGCACTGGGAGTTTTTTATGAGCTCCATCCTGTGAGGATCATTTGCTGATCAGTTAGAGATTTTAAACTAGAATTATGTAAAGTAATGACCATCATGACTTCCTGATCTTACCATTTTTTGGTCTTCAGAAGCCACTTTTGAGTTCTGTTTGGTCCCTTGAAGGGTTGGTTTGTTGCTTGCCTGTCTCACTGGCTGGGTTGGAGTTGGAAAATCAGAGCCTTGTTTCAAAACATTCTCTTAATAAATACACAAATTCCATAACTTGCATATCAAAATCAGGATTTATTGGGCTAAATGTACATTATATTGGTGGTGGAGTGGGATTTCTTAGCTTGGCATGAGGCCTAGGAGCTCAGGTTTGCACTTCCTGCCTCTTGTGATTACAGCTGAGCTACGAATGAGCTGCAGAGGGGCAGCCTCAAGCTAGAGCACCAAGGGGTTGGCTGTACTGAATGATATTGTCCCACTTTTTTGCCTCAGCCGTGAGTCACTTAGTTCACCTTGCTGGTTTTGGTCCCCAGCCTGTCAGCTGAACTGCTCTGAGCACGGGCGCTGCGACTCCTTCACCAAGCGCTGTGTCTGTGACCCCTTCTGGATGGAGAACTTCGTCAGGGTGCAGATGGGGGATGGTGAAAGCAACTGTGGTATGTAACCCTCCCTGGGATGGCTGTTTGGAGCCTGGGGTGGGCAGGGAAACAGGTTCCTGTGGCGTCCCAGTGCCTGTGAGGTGATGTGCACATGAGGAGACAGGCCCTGCCTGGTGGCACTGCACGTCCCTTCTGGGCAGGTGATGTTTGGTGGGGCAGCAGCTCTTCTTCTGACCCTCTCAGGGAACACTCACTAAGGGTTGAGTCCATTCTGGGTGTATAAATCACAGCTCTCTCCTGCCATGCCTATACAGAGGCTTTCCTGCCACAGGGAAGCAAAATCTCTAAGAGAGCACACACTAAAACCTGCCCAGTGAGCCTGCAGGCAGGATCTCGAGCCTCTGCCTGCCAGGGGTGCTGCCAGGGAGGGCCACTGGCCTCAGACTCTGCAAAGGGTCAGGCCTTGCCTTTTCTTCCCCAAGAATAGTCCCTCAAAACACACACTGTCACCTGCATGAGTTGCCAAAATGTGTTTATCTCTGGGGTTGTTCTTTCAGAGTGGAGTGTGCTGTATGTGATCATTGCATCTTTTGTCATCGTGGTTGCCCTTGGAATCTTGTCCTGGATGGTGATCTGCTGTTGTAAGAGGTGGGACTGAGGCCCTAACCCCCACTCTGTCAGTGCTTCAGAGCCAAGTAGCTGCAGCAGGAAGGAAAAGACTCAAACCCTCATCCCAGCAGGTCACCTGCTGAGCCCTGGGATGATGGTTTTTGTCACTGAAGTCCCAGAACTCTGGGCTCAGTTGAGCAAAGTTTGGATTAACCTGTAAACCTGCAAATTAGCCATGTTTTCACTGTTTCAAGAGATACAATGCTGCAAACTTGACATACTGTTACAAACCTAATCGGAAATAGCAAGTGCTCTAGCTTTGAAGGTCAGAGCTGTTTTATCTTCTGTTGAAGAATGGCTAAGGGAACAGGGGCACAGCTCCTAGAGAGCTTTGTGCAAGCAAGAGTCGAGCAAAGGTCTGTGGGAGCTTTGAGCATATAACCATGAAGTAGGCCTCAGGAATTTAGCTTCTCAGCACTAGAATTTATTTTCTCAGCAAAATGTTGCAGCCGAAGGACAAGCTGTCTAGGAAAACTCAGCAATGTTGCAAGCCCAAGGATAAACTATCCGGGAAAACAAAGAAGGATTCTCCAGAGAATAAAGAAGACTTCTTCACAGCTGCAACCGCAGGCAGAAAAAGTATATTAACCTAACTTTTGGAGCTTAGGTAATGCTGTTGGGTAATGCTAAGTAACAAATAGGCACATTTATCATGTACCGTATCAGAGAAGAACTGAGCTACCAATAAAGTTGGAGCTTGCTTTATCACTCACACTGAGTCGGCCGCTTGCTTCCCCGCATGGAATTTCCCTGCAACTGGTGCCCAAACAGGGACAGGGACAGAGACCTGGACCCTGGACCTGGAGGGAAGGCTGGATCGCGCGGCGCGGCCGGAGCGCCGGTGGCAGCGGCCGAAGGGCAGAAGACACCTGGACCATCCGAGAGGCGTCTGCACGAGTCCGAGGAGGGCTCCTTTGGAGAAACAGCGCTGCACCATCGCGGCTGGCCGCGCTGCGACTAAATTCGGATATATGTCGCTTACGGCAGGGATCAGCGGGTGTTCGACGCGGATCGGATCAACGTTGGGATCAACGTTGGAGCACCGTTGTGCAATGGAAAAGGAGATAGCTCTCACCTTATTATCATGCTTTTTAGAAAGGCAAGGAGTAACTTGTATCGAGCAGGTTCCAGAGCTTATCGCCTTTGGAATGACGAAGGGTTTCTTTGAAAACTCTGATTCATCCTTTAATGAGCAAGAATGGAGGAAATATGGGGACTGTCTTTGGGACCTTGTCATAGATGACAAGTTGTTCTAACAACTATGGGGAGGTGCCTGACCTGGCACAGGGCCCAGATGTTACTGCTATTTCTGTGCTGCTGTACTGGATGGATTAAAACTCCTGTGCGAACTTAAATTGAAAGGACTTGAAAGAACTGTGGCCTGTGATGAACCATGACAAAGAAGAGACCCATCTGTAACCTATGTTGAGGACTATACTAATGACAAACTCAAGCAGAAACCCCTTGTTGCTAGCCAGGCTGGCAACAAGGAGAACAGTTCATTGCACTTGTCACAGATACATATTTGTTTTCTCCTGCTGCCAGAGTTTTTAGGTCTGGTTTAGTTTTACTGTTTTATAGATAAGTCAGCTTGCTAACAAGCCAGAATAGTGCTATTATTTAAAATATATCTTAGGTAGGCTAAGGATTTAGTTAAAATAAGGTATTTAGTTTAGTTGTTATAGGTTTATTGTTAATGTTGATAGCATATGTTTATAAGATTAATTTCTGAAAGGATTAGTAAAGCCATAAGTCTAGATTGCTCAAAAACAAACAAATGTTAGGGGAATTTCTGATTGCTAACGGAAGTTGAAGATGGTTAAAGGTGGAGAACAATGATCGGGGCATTTTATGATTGATATGTAGGTGGCCAGTAGTATTGTGTGTAAGGTAAGCTAGTAGTAGTAATTAATCAATAATAAGTAGACAACAATATTTGGGGGGTTGTCACCTTGGTAATTATCTATAGTTAGAGAAGTACTAAGAATGCTTGGCATTACTTTACTAATCTTCCAGCCTTTTGAGACCTGGACTGCCTCTTAATTCCCTTTCTCTCCCTTCAGACGAAAAGGAAAGTCCAAAAGAAAAAGCAAATACAAGATTTTGGATGCAACGGATCAAGAAAGCCTGGAGTTAAAACCAAACCCCAAAGCAGGTAAAACATGAGAGGGAAGAGCTCAGCACTTGCAGAGTGCTGGCTGAGAACACGTCCTCAGTGGGCTTAAAATCACAGAGGGAAACAAACACAGTGTCAGGGCTGACAGAGAGGTCTCAGCAGATCTAAGAGCTTGTTTCAGACCTGGATATGGAGTATTTAGTGAAGTCATCCAACCCTTTGGTTTGGAAATTGGGCCTGAAACTGGCCTGGTCTTGCTGTTCCCACTTGGTATCACACAAGTAGTAGGTGGATGCCTGTAAGGTGACCCAGGAAGCCCAGAGTTTGGTCTTGACTCTAACTTTTCCTGCTCTAAAGTTTTCCCTTGGGTGCTGGTAGTTCACTTCTTGCCAAAGTGCAGTTCTTTGGCCATGCTTCACAGCAAAGCAGGAATTCAGTGGCACTAAGCATTTCACTGAACTGACCAACATCCGAAAACAACCTGAAATTGCTCATGGACTGGAGAGAGTGAAGTTGATTTCTGTCCCACTACAAATGACTTGATCATAAACTTACTTATTCTTGCCCTGGTGAGCATCAGGCTCTGAAAATTTCACATTTTAGCTCAGCCTCTTAATTTTCCAGTAGGCAGGTGCATTGTTAGGAAGGAGACCCATGAATTCCTCAGTGCTCCATGTGGCTGCAGGTCCATTGGCCCATTCCAGAGAGACAGGATCTGTCTTCAGTGTTCTTAGCCAGCGTTTTCCTGCCCACACTGCTGTCCTGAGAGTGCTTGTCAGGTGTTTGCAAAAATCAGGGAGTTACTTCAGGCTGGAGCTGTCTTATCTGATACCTGAAGTGAGCTGTGGTCACCTGCTGACTGACCAGGAAAGGAGGGAAGAGTGGGAAAGGATGTGCCAAGCACAGCCTCACCAAATGCCAGGGAGCACTGCAGGTGCTGAAATGGGGGTTTCAAACCAGAGCGTGTCCTGGTTCTGTTTGGAGGATTGTTTTAACTGTGAGTGGAAAAGTGTCCCTGCTCCTTGTTTGCTGGTGGGAAATACCTGCTCCCCCTGGAATTATCCCATGCCATGGTGTTGCACAGAGTGAGCAGTGCCCAGGAGCAGCGTGGAGAGCATTGCAGTGACAGGCTGCTCAGCTGTTCCTCTGAGCCCAGGCTGTCCCAGCTGCCTGAAGACAGATACCCTTGAAGGAAACACGGGTGTGTTTCCCTCCCTCAGCACCCAACTCTGCTTTCATCCCACCATCTGTCACCTGGGGGCCCACTGCTCAATAAATGTGCCCATCTTGCTGCTTCCCAGGCTGGCTGCTGACTAGAGTCTTTTTCCCTGCTAGAGATGTCCAGGGAGCTTTCTACTAGCAGAGGAAACGTTGCGTTTCTCCATTAAGGAAAAGCTAAATTTAAAGATTTCCTCTGCTGACAATATCAGTAAACGTCTCTCTCCTGTCCTTGTGCGTTCATCTAAATTCATCCTGTTAATTTATCTCTCTTCCCTTGCAGGCAGGAGCAGCAGAGGGGAGAGTAGAGAGGCTAGTAAGAAGGCAGTGATCTTCTATCACACACCTGCATTTTCTCTGACTCCAGCCATGAGCCCTCAGAGAGATTTCTAGGCAATGCCCCGAGCAAGGTCAGGGAGACAGAGCTCCCACATGTCATCACAGCCCCTTCTGGTCACATCATTTGCCTGCCTTCCTGCTCACGGTGCTTTGTGCTGCCTCGGAGTGTCGTTGTGACCTCTGACATGCCAAACTGTCTGAAACAGGATCACTCTGGCTTCAGCGTTGGAGGGAATAAGAGACTCTGGGAGGAAAGTCTGATTTGGCTGCTGCTTTGACATGATGGGAAAAGGAGACTTGGAGAGGGGATGGAGTAAGGTGAGGTGGTTCACTGGTACTAAAAGCATTTCTAACCTGGAAATGTTTCTCTTTCAAGGTGGCAGACAGAAAGCTCAGGTCCTCGACACGAGCCTGATGCACTCCGAGTCTGAACTGGACAGCGATGAAGCCATTTTCACCTGGCCTGACCGGGAGAAAGGGAAGCTGCTCCGGAGCCAGAACGGCTCTGTGCGCAACGGACAAGTGGCACTCAAACCCAAGAACCAGAGGGAGGAAA